GTGGAATACTTTATTTTTTGTTTATAATAATAATTATTATTATAATAGAATTTCATTGTGCCTCCCATCAAACTGTTTATAATTTACTCCTCTCCATCCAAAGGTTGCCTGGAAGAGATCGCTTTTAGCGATAAGTCCGCCCATTGTTTTCTCATTGTGATTATTTCTTGTAATTGTTATTTATAATAAGTTTACTATTGTAATCTTTTGGAGGAAACAATAAAGAGTATCCATCTATCTATCTATTATTGTGCTAAACGACACGACACGGTACGACATGCTTACATTTCTTAGAGATTTGAATTTAATATGGCAAAAGATAAGCCTATTGCTTTTATATATGTCCGCACTAATAACTCAATAATCTCTCTGTTGAAGTGAGCATCATGTGGAATATATAGAAATATATACATAGAGGACGGTTAACCGCCACCGCTTATGTTTCCGCTATCGCTCCGTTAACGTAACATACTCTCAACCTAGTAAGCAAGGCCGCGTAACGCGTGGGAACGTAAAAGTAAATCGCTAAATTCTGCTTCATTAAATTTGTTATCTTTATTAGCTGTGCTTTGTGTTTATAGAATATGCTAATAGTGGTCACTCTACTGTTCTATATTTGTATTATACTAATATTAAATTCCGGATAACATATTTCGGGAAAATAAACTTTATACCATTAGCAATAAGGACATTATGGCAAGTACAATACGTGCAGAGGCTTTCTCATTGAAATGTCATAGCACATAAATTATGGGTACGATATCAATAAAGTAAATGGAGTATTAAAAACCGCAAATGCTAATTTGGTGCGGTTAATTTAAAGTCGTGATTAAAAGTACATTGTTTAATATTTTATTCACACATAATCAGTAATGTCAAATGTAAAGTTTGTGTTTCTTTTCGACCGACACAAAAATAAGAGGCTGCACTGTAGTTTTTTTTTTGATGGGTGAAAATGATATGGTAACCCCGCCTGCGCTAACGGGATATGCTGGCGGAGCACCAGTGAAGGGTGATAGATGAGAATGAAACAGGCCAGTTAGCCCATCATGAATTAACCATGATAGTTTCCAGAGAGAACCGCGAGGAGGTCGACCTGTTTGGGTATAGGCTGCACTGTAGTTTATTGTATGATATGATATGCGATATGATTATCGATTCAAAACTGTTTTTTTTTTTATTTCGATTAAAGGCATTATTTTTAGGTTAGCTCTGTTTGTTATTTTTTTTATACTTCAGAGGTGGCAATAAATATACAGTCTCCCTCACCAGAGGGAGACTTTGTATAAAAGTTGTTTGCTTGGGTACCTCTGTCCCATTCATGTTTCAACCGTGAAGCAGTTGTGTTTGCATGGCTGTGTTTCGGTTTGAAGGGTGGGATATGGCGTGAATTTACAGGGTACAGAGGAATAACACCTGAGTCCTCAGGAATGGCAACGCATGGGGGGTATCATGGGCGAAACAGTGCACTCTGTTATGTCCATGGTACTGCTCATGTCTATAGTCAACGGATACCACTTTCCATTAAGTGGACCATCATCTTGTTTGCTATTCTAAGTTGTATAAAAAAAAAGCCTGTCTGATGGTAAATGGTTACTGTAGTCTATGGACGCCACTAGGGGTGTCACGTACATGTTGGCAAAAACTGTTTAAAATTTATTATTTAGTTACTAATCCGATGAATATTTGGATGGATGGATCAGCTGTTATTGAGAGTATAGATGCATGTATTTGAGAGTATAGATTTCAGTATTAGTGAAGCGTGGTGTTGATTGTTGATGTTTGAATGAATTTTGAGCGATATTAAAAATTTTGCATGACTAATCTTGGTAACATTAATCGCATTTGTATACCTAATGTTATAGACATTTAAGAATGCTATAAGGCAAATCAGACCAACATTACTAGTATGTTGGGCTCCACTATCGTCTATTTAAAAGAACATATTTGCCTTAATATCCTATAAAGATCTATAAATGAGTTTAAATCTTTTCTCAGAAGAGGAGCTTATCTATTGCCATAATGACTAGGGAGCTCTATTTTCTTCTGTTTAATTCCCTAAATCATCTTTATGACATCCCACCATCACAACAATAAAAAACTTACATTAATTTTTAACTAACTTAAATTTAATAAAAAATAGGAGTTTCTCAATTCGGTGGTATGTTTATTTTTGTTAATTCATAACTACGTAAGTTATAAATCGATTTGGAAAATTCTTTTTTATCTGAAAGGATATATTTTCAGACTGGTCTCATAGAAGTTTTATCAAAATCGGCTCAGTAAATTACTGTTTCAATCAAAATAACTGGCTTTTTTAAAATCATAACAATCGATTTTGCCACGATTTTTTTAATGGAATAGATTTTTGTTTTTTTTTTTTAATGGAACACAATCTAAAATTATTAATCAAGTTTAAATTTATTCATCTAAAGTCGATCGTGCATCGAAAATGACACCCGACTTACCTGTACTGATGACTCACCGAATCTTTAATCTCACGATAGAGAGAGAGAGAGAGACAAAAAAATAACGCACGCGCACTGATTGACGGTTCAATTAAAAATAATTTCGAGAGTGAAATCATAGACATCGATCTTTTGTTCGGCACATCACTACGGACGGCTCGAGCTCTCTCAACATAGTGTTGTTACATTTTTCTTTTGTGTAAAGATAATTATCGACACCGCTCCGACATAAAGGAGCTATTTAAAGATCGTTCAATTACCAATTAAATGGATGTGTTTTGTTGGTTTATTGAATAATTAGAGGCGATGTAGATGATTCGATTTATTAAAATGTATTCATTCGTACTGCATTCATCTTTGGACCACCGTAGATAAAGGATTTTTATTGTTCTATTGTATCTATGACACAGTTCATTGTTTAAATAATCTGTATATAATTAAAAAAAAGTTGAGTCTTTATAGATTTTATTGTAGAATTGTTTATTTCTTAATACAATTTAAGAGCTTATATTATTTCATCGAAGTATGCAGGAAATAGTATTATTTGATAAATTACATATATGCTAAATGTAAAATAGGTAAATTTTTTACTCATAAATGGCAACATTATGTCGTCGTCTGCGTCTGGGGACTACTTTCATGAAAAGGATTTTATATTTGACACCCGTTCTAATATTATAAAGTCTCCTGTGTGCTAAGTTATCTCTTTATTGATAAAAAATTTTAAACTCTCATAAACCTGTTTTAGTTATTGAACTATTTTGTCTCCTTCTTTTACACTACATTCCAAATTTAAAAGAAAGTGACAAAACAGTGTAATAGTTAAAGTAGATTTGTGAAGGATATAACCTATCCAACCAAACTTCAACAAACTTCATCATCAGATTATCAAATTTCATTGAAATTGGTTCAGAGGGAGACTGTACAAAAGTCGATTGCTTGGGTATCTTTGTCCCATTCGTGTTTCTACCGTGAAGCAGTTGTGTTTGCATGGCTGTGTTTCGGTTTGAAGGATGGGATATGGCGTGATTTCGAGATTTACTGGGTACAGAGAAGTAACACCTGAGTCCTTAATGTAGACAAACGAACAATTGACCCGACCATACGACCAGACTGATGATGAATAGTAAAATAAATTAAAATTAGACTTGGTATTATAGAATTGGGTTCATAGAATGATGTCGATTTGTCATCAATTTTATTTAAAGAATGTTGTTGTAATAATTTCAATAAAAAAAAACCTTTTTTGTTTTGTTTTTATGAGACAGATAGAGACTGTTACGGGAGCACAGATCACTATAAGTAGCTTAATAAAAATGATCTTTATTACTATAATTTGTGGTTCAATTTACATTGACGGCGCGTACTAGGATAAATTCAATGAGACCATACGAATTATAATAATGTATTTTCATTACGTTCCCGACCTACCACAAGCGTCCTGCTACTTTCTACTCTCGCCGGCAAATTTACAAGCTAATCTCAACCGTGTATCTAAGCTATAATAAAGTATACATTAACTTGTACTATGTGGATAGTAAAATAATTCTATCTCTACCTGGCGATCATTATCGATAGAGGTCTAAACGGCCTTCGGGACAGAATAACCGAAGATTTAATTTAGTATGTCATTATTAGTAGTTTATGTTATAAGGAAAGACATTTGTTCTGATAAAGTATAATAAGTTAATATAATAAATATTTATTTATTAAGAATATTTTTATTATATCAAAACGAGAAGGTTCTCGATTTGTCTGTATAATTTTTTTTACGTCACGCAATTATTTCGGCTTCTGAACCGATTCTAATATTTACTCACCAGAGGGAGACTGTATAGAAGTCGTTTGCTTGGGCACCTCTGTTTCATTCGTGTCTCTACCGTGAAGCAGTTGTGTTTGCATGGCCGTGTTTTGATTTGAAGAATGGGATATGGCAGTGAATTTACAGGGTACAGAGGAATAACATCTGAGTCCTCAGGAACGGCAACGCATGGGGGGTATCATGGGCGAAACAGTATATACTTTGTTATGTCCATGGTACTGCTTATGTCTATAAGCGACGCTTGCCACTTTCCATCAGGTGGACTGTCAGCTTGTTTGCCATTCTAAGTTGCATAAAAACAAATACTTTTATTATCGTGGTGATCGCGTATCAACGAACAAAGGCGACCGGAATTGTTTTTTCTTTGCTTAAAAAAATTATTTAAAAACTAATTTTACAGAATGCCTTATCCTTTTTGTTCTTGAACTAATAATCTCTATTTGAACATTCCTTTTGGACTCTCCAACATAGAAAATAAAAATTAATTTTTAAATATTTCTATTGCAATATAAGTTGACAACAATATCCAAGATTCAAAATGGTAGCGAAGTCGTTGCTGAAATTAAACGTACGTACGGACAAATTTAATTTGTACTGTTAACATTAAAATTATATTATTATAAAATGAAAAAGGCAGTTTTATATTTAGTCAAATAGTTAGGTAAATAAAACTGAAGTACACCCTCTCACCTACTTATTAAATTTATTACCTTATCGCCGACAGTTATCACAAAAAACTGTTGTAAGTAGGTCCAGCTTCATAATCTGCAACAAATAATAATAATATTACAAAATTGTTACGTTACACTCTTTGTGAGTTTTCATCATCAGCATCATCATTTTAGTGATTATTCGTCCACTGCTGGACATAAGCCTCTCCAATAGACTACATAAGACATGAGGAACGAACGGTATTGAGCTACCTGCATGCACTAAGTCTCTGCAATGCGTTTGAGGTCGTCACCCCCCATCTTGTGGGGAGTCGTCCTACACTGTGTTTGCCCGTACGAGGTCACCACTCAAGAATCTTTCTTACTTTGTGAGTTTCACTAGTTATTATTATCTGTTCGCGACTTTATGTGATCAAGATAAAATTTAAGATGTAGGTAACAAAAACAGATAAATGAATTAACTTTCAAATTTATTACATAAATGAATAATTAAATAATATTACTACTATGATAATTCTATTTATATCTTTCGATGTTTCAAATACGGACAGTTTATTTCTTCAATGTAAAAATTATACTCACTATTAATACTCAACGTTACAACTAGATGGCGTTCTGTAAAATTAGAACGCAATATCGTTTGCATTTCACATATGATTGTAATTCTTTATGTCAATTTTGAATGCAGTTTGTTTGTTACCTTTTCAAAAACGTTTGTTTTTGAGCAATTTTTGATACCCGGTTTGAAATAAACCGAGTAGTTAAAAAATAAATAAATAATTTATCAGATAAAGGCCTTTTATTTACTTAGTGTACAGCTGATCGTTTGTGTCATGGAGATTTATCCGTGTATTTATTGACTATTGTAACAGATTATGACAAGCTTGAAAGTGTAACTGTTCAATATGTCGTCTCGCCCACCAATTGTTACGGATTTAATATTCATACAATATAATAATTTGTGTGTGTATATATATATACATGTATCAGTTTTTTATACTGCAAGTAGACTAAATTTCATAGGATCAACAAGGATTATTATATTATAACAAGGATTATTTTTAATATAGGTATATTAGCTTTTTAGGTAGTTATTGTAACAATGGATGAGAAAATATCAAAAATGGCGCATCGTTATTTTGGATGAATGCGTTTACGTTTTTTAAAATATTTAATTTTAATGTACGTATTTTGATTCATGCATTTAAAAAATATATAATTTATTAAATAATAGTATATTAATGAAATCAAACAAAAGACTCGGATACTTTAAATATAAGATCAGAGCCTAAAAAAATTGTTTAAGGAAGTAGATAAGTACTACTATAGTTACTATAGTTAATGAAAACAAATTCTGGGCCCGAATAAAGAAACGACATGGAAGACTATATATCGCGTTCTAATTTTTGAGCAATGCCATCTAGTGGCATTACTTTTTGTTTTTAAAATATTCTTTTAAATTAAAAGTGCTATATCTTTATAGCTACATATATATATATATAGATCTCTTTATTTATAATATATAAAAGGTTATTTTTTATATAAACTTATTATATATATAAACAATTACAAGAAATAATCACAATGAGAAAATAACGGGCGATCTTATCGCTAAAAGCGATCTCTTCCAGCCAACCTTTGGTTTTAATAATTGATAATAAACCTTTAAAACTATAAATGCATTAATGCTGTTTATGATTATGTGAAATCAAAACGATAACTAGTCTACTGCCGAGCGCAAATTTTTTTTACAGGTTTGTACTCTTGTAATCTTATTAATATAATAAAATTGTAACTAAACGCCATCTATATATAGAAGTTATTAGGAAAAAATAATATACTTTTTAGACATTTTGTCTGTCTGTATTTTTCTGGTCATGTAAAATTAGATCACGCAAAAATTATGGCAACAAATATATATATATATATATATATATATATATATATATATATATATATATATATATATATATATATATATATATATATATATATATATATATAAAGGCCATATTATCCGTCCACTGCTGGACATAGGCCTGCCCCATAGACTGCTACGGTCTTGACCCACCTGCATCCACTGACTCCCTGTGGTGTATTTGAGGTCGTCATTCCATCTAGTGAGGGATCGTCCTACACTGCATTGGTGTAGGTGGTTGCTATAGCGTAAGACGACAACATAGTTTTAGTAACATAGTTTTCTTTTTACAATACAATACTACACAATACAACATATATTATACCATAAACAATTTTAAATAGTTTTTATTGTTTGTAAAAAATAACTTTTTTATACCACAATTGTAGCTAACCTAGCATACAGCCAGTCTGATGGTAAATGGTATCTGTAGCCTATAGACGCCTGCAACACTGAGTGTGTAACGTGCGCGTTGCCAACACAAAATTATTGTTTGTATAGAACACTGCCATATCTATTGGTCTCGTACTATTTGGTAGTTTCTGTATTAATCTATACAAATATTACAAAAAAAAAAATGCCTAATGACTTCTTATGATTCGATGTCATGTTGCGTGTAAGTCGCTCCGCGGTTTTATTTGACTTGGCGAGGGTTGAATGAATACGGCGTGCTATTGAAACTGTTAGGTATTATAAAAAGAAGAAAGAAATAATTTAGCCATAGGATCATGTAACATAAATGAAAAAACTAAGTATGACAATATTTTTTTTTTTAATGAATATTATGGAATGGTAACCCTGCCTGCGCTATCGGTATACACTGGCGGAGCACCAGTGAGGTATGATAGATGAGAATGAAAAAGGCACGTCTGTTAGCCCATCGTGATGAATACACTTGGAATTCCGCGCGATGGTTTCCAGTGGGCACCACGTGGAGGTCGACCTGGTTGGGTATATTGCTAGCAATAGGGTTTTTAGTCTCCATTACTAACAATCCCTTCTCCTGCAAGATTAGACTTAAAAACTAACCAACGGATTTAAAAAAATTCTTTCACCTATAAAAAAGCTACTTTATTCCCAGGTAGTAAGGTCTCAAATCATTTTAGGGTCGGTGTAGACAACTCTATTGAAATAAAGATAACTTAAATTTGAAATATTTTTAATTTCATCTTGTATAATCCATACATACTGTGTTTCGGTTTGAAGGGTGGGATATAGCGTGAATTTACAGGGTACAGAGGGATAACACCTGAGTCCTCAGGAATGACAACGAATTGGGAACAAATATCATGGGCGAAACAGTATACTCTGTTATATCCATGGTACTACTCATGTCTATAGGCGACGGTTACCATTTTCCAGCAGGTGGGCTGTCAGCTTGTTTACCATTCTAAGTTGTATAAAAAAAATACAAGCTACACGCAACCCCGTTTGGCTACCAGTCGCTGTCAATGCTGTCACCCATCTGTCTGTCTGTACACGGAAACTCTGGAATTTTAAATCGACCATTACCTATGATCGATGCAAGGAACAAGGGACAGAATATGTTAGTATTTATTTTAATAGGGAACCGATATGTTAGCATGACGTATGAAACAAGCTTACGGCCCATCTGTTGGAAAATTGTTATTTTTAATGGGTGAAAATATAATGGTAAACTCACCTACGCTATCGGTATACACTGGCTAGGTTACAATTTTACAACTACAGTATATGTATTTGTATTGATATTACAATTATATTTGTATTGGTAATATAAAGTTACGAAGTGGACTGAAAATAATTAAAAATGAAAAAAAATGAATTTATATATATATATATATATATATATATATATATATATATATATATATATATATATATATATATATATATATATATATATATGTAATTTACTCACAACTCAGGTTACATGTATATTTCCATAACTAATAACACAGCTTTTAAAATATTTGTAGCTTAGCATTACCTAATTTTTTAAAATTGTTTGCTTCATTTCATAATGTATAATTATGCTAAAGTAAATGCTGTGAATACCTTTAATAGGCATGTGCATTAATATTGTATTGTATTTAATGTTTGTTATAGGTGTTATAATGCAATATGGTGTTGGTGTTCCTATATATAAATAAATAAAACCTGAAAAGATTACACCCTTTTTTAGGGTAGTCGTGTAAAAATTTGGTCGATCGAGTTGCCAGTAACAGCTCGTACCTTTCCCCGATTAAAGGATGATGTTTGTGCACTGGTCCAGTAGCAAGATGTCAGTGATGATACGTCAATGGTCAGATCGTAATATGCGCGTTTGTATTCCGTCCCATTAAAATTTCAAGTTCCAAGTCCAGTTTGCGGCTAACGCTGACCGTTTCGAGCGAATGAAATGCATTATAGAATAGCTAAGAACCGCGGCGATGCCTACGTACGATGGGATAAAAACTACATCACGTATTAATTTAGAATATGGTCTATGTGTGTACCAAATTTTATCCAATTCCGTTCGGTCGCATGGACGTGAGTACAATATTATAAATATGTATATTTGTGCAGATGATTATATGTGTGTTACTGAAATATACTCAACGTATAAACGGATTTGAATGAGAATGCAAGAACCGATAACCGATGGGGAAGAAAGGTTTTTGAATGGTGACTGCGTAGAGGTAAACGCAGTGTAGGACGACCTCCCACTAGATGAAGAGACGACCTGAAATGCATTGTCAGGGATGTCAAGGATGCAGGTGGCTCATGACCGTTCTTTATGGCAGTCTATGGGGGAGGCGTATGTCCAGCAGTGGACGAATAATGGCGGAAATGATGATGATGAAGTGAAATTTGGTACACGTATGGAACATATGTTGGGTCAACATATAGGATATTATCGGCTTAATTAACGCAAGCAAAGTGTAGACAATAGAATTTTCAAAATACTTTCACCTATAGAAAGTTACATTACCAGCGTGTAATAAGGGTTGTATTTTATTGTTTTCAAAAATATCACGCGAAGTCGGAGCGATTAGCTAGTTTTATATAATCACAGATCGAGAATATGAATGAAATTAAATACTGGATCCAGTATTTGCAGTCATACATACATTTCGTTGCAGCGCATAGAAATGCGATGCGAATCTCTCGCCGGAGCCGTCTCGATCTATTATGTCGATAATGATAATTGATAA